GGAGAACCTATGAATGTTGGTATGACTCATCTCGGGGAAGGTCAAATTTAAACTCAACACAGTTTGGTATTAATATTAACAATTTATCATCCAAAACTGGCTCCCGTGGGAGATATCGCTTGGGTGAGATCAAGCGATATCTAAGCTGTAGATATCGCTGCAATGAAATTGCATCACAATGCTTTGCAGACCATTGTGACGTCATTGTTACCATGACGTCACAATCAAATGACATCACATGGCTCTGCTATTGAAGCTGTTAGCAGTATTTTTTACACTTAAGACACTGCTTATTACTGTCTACAAACTGAAAAAGTTGGAAAAATGATGTTGGATGATAAATCAAATCTCACCCTCGTGTCTTTTGATATCACTCACACACTCATTGATAAAAATGGAAAAAGAATCCTCGGAAAGCCTCGGAGTTTTTTATCAACTCGTGTTGATATATTTGATTTCAAAAGACACTCGGGTGAGATTCTCTATATATACCATATGATAGTCGTAATATTTTGAGAACAGAGGCTTTCACATGTCGTTGTTTTGGGATGGTAAAATCCTGTATTGGAAATAAACATTGTATACAGCGGACACCTTGGCAAACACATGACACGACGCCGTGTTTGTTTGTTAACACTGAAATAAGCATCTACCTGACCTTTTTTATTTGCATATTTATCTGTAACTGACAGACACCGTTTGTCCAGAGGCTTTATGCTGACGACAACCTGGTACTCATTATGTAATACAAAACTAAGACTAACATCTAGTCTCTGAAATGAACAAATTTTACAGAAGAAAACAGTGGTTAAATAATACACTCTTAAAAAAAAGACACGCATAGGTGTTTTGAGAATTAAAATTAGATTTTTGTCCCCGCAATCGTCATAAAGACGATTCTTGTGTTTGATTCCAGTTAATCATGTCATGTTTGTTGTGCATTGCGTGCAAACACATCTCAAAATGTTTTTTTGTAAACCTTTATCAGCAATAATGAATTGAAAAAGGATGAACGGAAATTGCTTTCAGAAAAGGTTTTCAGCACAATACACGTGCAAAGTGTTGAAAACAAGAGTAGAGACATTGACTATAAAAGACCGTACAAAATTCATCAGTTCATCACGAGTTTTCTGGCGTGAACGGAGATCGAAAAATGCCACGATTAACTGCGGCTGACCGAAATATCACCATTGGACGTTTGGAAGCAGGGGAGTCCAAGTCGGCCGTTGCAAGACACTTCAACGTTCACCAAAGCACCATATCTCGACTATGGGATCGATATACCCGCACTAATTCGACTCAAGATCATCCAAGAAGTAGAAGACCAAGAGTAACCACCCCTGCTCAGGATCGGTACATCCGTTTGCATCACCTTCGGAATCGATTTGTTACAGCAACGGACACTGCAGGACAAGGGCCTGGTATGCGAAGAATTTCCGACCAAACCATCAGAAATCGTCTGAGCGAAGTGGGAATTCGAGCGAGACGACCAAAAGTTGGCCCTGTCTTGCGACGTCTACACCGTCAACGACGTGTCCGGTGGTGCAACATAGTTCAGGCATGGGATCTCAGGAACTGGCGACGAGTTTGGTTCAGCGATGAGTCACGTTTTCTTCTTCAACGACGGGATGGAAGACAACGTGTATACCGACGTCGACATGAACGCTTTGCGCCGAAATGCGTTCGACAGGTACACCGATTTGGTGGAGGGAGTGTCATGGTGTGGGGAGCCATATCCTACACGGGTAGATCACAGTTAATGGTTGTCCAGGGCAATCTTACAGCAAACCGATACATAGACCAAATCTTGCGTCCTCACCTCCTCCCAAATTTGGACCGCCAGAGGGAGCTGTTCCAACATGACAACGCTCGGCCCCACACAGCACGTGCAACAGTTAATTTCCATGTTAATGAGAACATCAATGTCCTTCCATGGCCGTCCAAATCGCCTGATCTCGACCCGATTAAACATTTGTGGGATGAACTTGATCGACGCGTCCGTCAACGTCACCAGCGTCCCCACACACTGGCACAACTCGCCAACGCCTTACAGGAGGAATGGCGAAGAATTCCCCACGAAAGAATCCGACGACTTGTGCAATCTGTGCCAAGGAGGTGTCGAGCAGTGACGGCTGCAAGAGGTGGTGTGACCAGGTACTGACCATGACGCCCCCTTGTGGCTACACATGTGCAATGACTGAACTGAATTAATGCTGACAACGACGACAATGCTTTTTGTCGATCTCTGTGTCTAATTTCATTTGATTGTGTTCACGCATATTCTGTGTAGATACTTTTACATCCACTTTATAAATATCCTTATGTTTTAACTATGCGTTTCTTGTTTTGAAGAGTGTAGTTATAAAATATATTGAAAAGGAGCCCAGAGACTTTGATACTGCAGCAAGCTAGACTTGCCAAACATTATAGTCTTGCATGGGCTGTATTGGATATATTTGTTTCAGGGTCTGTGTGACAGACTATACCAAACTATATCGGTCATTTTTCGAAGCAGTCTCTATGTGCACTCAAACAATCGCACTCAGCACTATTCCAACTATATATGACTGCGGTCTGTCAATAATCGAGTCTAGACCAAGCAATCCAGTGATTAAAATCATGAGGATCTATCCAAGCAATTGGAATACGATGACATGCATAAACCAAGTCAGCGAGTCTGACCACCCAATCCCGTTAGTCGCCTCTAACGACAAGCATAGTCGCCTTTTACGACAAGCATGGTGGCTGAAGACCTAGTCTACCCCGGATCTTCATGGATGACTCGGGGGCACGGGTGGCACAGTCGTCTAAAACGCCGCGATTCGCTGTGCAGAGTTGCGTCCCTTGTGCACGCCAGAAACCTGTGATTGTGGGTTCGAATCCCGGTTAGTCCCGATTATGTTTCTAGGTTTGTCAGCACCATACAACAACAATTGAAGGCATAAGCTTCCCACAAAACACTAAACTGAACTGTGTTTGATAAATATAACTGACGCGATACATCGTGGATGCGATATTCATATCGTCATGGTGAATGTCATGGCCTGTTTTTGAATCTCAATAACAGTATTAATAGCCAGTGATAAATACAAAAGATTTCCTGGCTTCAAATACCAATTAACAACGTTTACAAACCAATTATATTGCGGTAATGAATATTCATAGAGGCGATCAATAAATGATTATTTTTATCAAATAAAATAAAATGAAACTATTTAACGTGAAATCGTTTTAGTCGGACATGTTACTCGGTGATCAGCCCCAGCATTCGTGACCAACTCGTGTTATTCCGGGTCATCTTGCAGGTTACGGAAAGGGGCGAGTGGTGACGAATGCAGTCCCAGAAAACACTCGGCTCCCCTCGGGTCCACTCCGCCACCTTCATAACACCTCGGGATCTAGAGTATCGATATTGCTTGAAATCCCTGACAACTCATGGCCCATCCGCATATTATAGGAATAATATGACGGCCTATGTCGAAGACGGATTTATTCTGTGTTTTAACAGAAATTAGGCATACACTCTGATTCAAGGACACAACCAAACGTAAAACAGTTTGAGCTGTAACATCAAGCTCATATTACGCTGTGCCTTGTAATAGTCGCGCGCAGGAAACTAGTTCCGGTATGGTTTACTCCCAGTGTGAGTAGAGGTCCTGTTGGTCCAGGTCCAGCCGATTGCCCGTATGTACCATTAACATCCGCATTCGTACAACACGTTCAAAAGTCAACATAATGAAAAGAATCTAATTTCTAAATATAATGTCGACAATTAATAAAATAGAAGCAAATAACTGTGCCGAAAAGGAATTAAGTGGGTGAGTATGGTTTTACGCCGCTTTTAGCATTATTTCAGCAATATCATGGCGGAGGACACCAGAAATGGGCTTCAAACATTGTTCCCATGTCGGGAGTCGAACCCGGATCTTCGGCGTGACTATCGAACGCTTTAACTACTTGGCCCGACAATTGTTAAGATATAATATAGTCTTGTGCTATGAAAGACGTTAAGAAACCTTTCTTCATATTGGAGAAGAAAATATGAATGCATTCATAATTATGGATTTATATGTGTGCAGTGTGAAACTCATACTGTCGCGTAACGGGACTTGGGTGACATCATATGTTTGACGATCTATCGCGCCAATTGACGCGGGGTAATTAACAGATTTCTAAATGTTTAATTTTTCAAAAATGAAATAGATGAAGTACATGCAATTTGACTGCAAGATGTGATAGGACTTCCCATATAAATAATGATGTCCTCTCAGAAATGACCTTTGTACTTATATCAGGTCGAAAGATAACAGTTGTAAAGAAAGATAATAACTATTAATTATGCTGCAAAACCGTTATGACAGTGAATGATTTCAGTTTTGCCGGTTAAATTTGATACCCAGAAATGTTATTTGGAACTGACGGCGTCAGGCACGTTTTTCCAAATTGTGATTGCGGAAAAGATATTTATGAAGACAATTATTCACACGCAGTGAAAATCAGCAGAACAGTATTGTTAACATATCCTTACAAAGATGAATGTGACGTATTATATGACGGTCACCGAACACCACACTACTATCTATGACGTCACAATGCTCAATCAATTCAAAAGGAAACGAGCTGGCTATTTTAAACTGATAAACTGTATCTTTAATATTTTACGTATTTCTATTTGCCATATGAAGATAATTTAGAAATGGAAAACAGAAGGTCGTATAAAAATAAAATGTTCATATAAAGCCTAATAGTTCTGAAATAGGAAGTTGTCGATCACAGGTGGACCTTTTCTCCAAGGCGCTAAGGCGAAGCGATTCGCTGTGATGGTCGGTTCAAATTCCAGACTCGGCCACCATCACAAAGTGCCGTCAAACAACAAATAAACAACCATACATTTAAGCCTCGCCATACTTTTCAAATCGGTCTCAATCCTGTCTCGATAACTTTTGTCTTGTTTTTTTTATTTAAAGCAAAATTTTGACAGGGAACTTCAGTTCACTTACCTTCATCACAGCAAACGCCAAACTTCCCTTTCGGGCAATCGCATTTCTTCCGCTTGTCGTTCCACTGTCCGAATGTGCAGTTTTCGTTGCACCGTCTGGTTGCTCGTGAGTTTTCTCCAGCATCGCAAGCCGAGTAACCCGTACACTCCGGTTCGTTCCGCTTCCACACAGGCCTGTAGCGAATCTGATGTCCATAGCACTTCTTGTTGCATTTAGACCAAGCCGCCCAATCTGCCCATTTACATTGACACGAATCCCAAGTTTCTGCCTTTTGACTCATACACAATGGGAGAAAGACAATTAAGCTCAGCAACAACTTTATAAAAGTCATTACAAGTTTCTAATGCTCTTTAACGTGTAATATTTCACGTCTTGACACACCAAACGTACGCCTATGTATGACTGGTTCCAAGGTTATATTTCAGATCATTAAGGACATCTGGTATTCTTGGTATACATAAAGGTAGATATTAAGCCTTCGTCAAGCGTGGGTAGAAATCAATACGGAGTCAGCATCAGTTACCGCAATCGATATCTACCCGCCGGCTGACGTAGGACTTGACTGGTTTTGAAGACACACAAGAAGCAGAGAGATTAGCAAAGCACACAGGCTTCTGGGAGACAATTCAAGAGTACCCACCTAAAGACGATTTACCAATTACGACACCCAAAAGAGGTGAGTGTGCACTATTCCTAATATATTTGATGATCCGTGGAGCCATTGAACATTATTCCAAATTTGGAATTGAAAATGGTGAGAATGCAGTTATGATATGTTAGTTACAGGAATATAGGCAGATGTTCATGACAAAATACATGCCAGAAACACATATCCAGTTCGACATTTATTAAGAAGAATGGTCTAAAACGGTTCTAAACGGGCAGTATTGTTGTGTGTTACAAACTCTTTGAACCAGGAAGGATGATAATACTGTGTTCAAAGTTTAATTTTATCCATATAACGTATGTACTGGAGATCAATTTTATTTCATTTCCATCACTATCTTGCCTTTTACGCACAATGGAGTCTGTATCGGCAGATAATAGAGACTGGTGAAACTTTGCTGTTGACGTTTTATATTTTATACCTAAATTTTCAGTCGGTTGAAGATCGATGAATCGTTTTGATGTTAAGTAAGGATAAGAATTTATGGATGAACAACTTCTTTATTACAATCAAGAGCGACGTTTCGGTGTAGGTTCTAACACTGTTATCAAGCAAATGATATACAGAGTGTGGTTGGCACGTATATATACACGTAGGAGGCAATGTTTATACAGTAGAGTAGTAATTGTTATACTGTAGTAGAGAAGCCTGTTATGTACACACAAGGGTAGTGATGACAATCATCGGTGAAGTCAGTGACATAAACAAAGGATGGAGCCAGTAATATAAACAACGGGATTATGGCTGATTCGGGTAGTAGTATAGGTAATGATGGTTCTGCCGCAACTCCACTGGAACCGGATTTATATACCTATACTGCTACTACAGAGGGATTTTTTTATGTGTAAATGACTATGCGATTCAACGATCGTCATGAGATTAAACTAAATTGACTCTAGCTCACCACCACCTGGAGTCAATCAATGCTTCTATGATATAATTTTTTATAGGTAATAGGGGTTCTGGACCACTTCCACTGGAGCCAGATTTATATACCTATACTGCTACTACAGATGGATTTTTTTATGCCAAAATGATGATGTGATTCAACGATCGTCATGACATTAAACTAAATTGTAATGAAAATATTCTCTATTATTTTTACTAATACGTATACCATTATTTTTAACAAAGTGATAGTCACCATTTTTACTAAGTTCTTCGTTCATTTTACTAGGAGACCAGACTATATACTCTTCTTGGTAATTGGAAAGAAACAATTGATGACCATATTTGGTTGGTTTGACATCACAAATATAATATATACCTTGTGGTAATTCTCTCCATTTGATAATTTTGTCCCTGAGCATAAATGTTTCAATAGCTTTTTCGAGTTCTTCCTTTGTTGGTTTGTAATTCTCCATTATTATATACTTACGTAAGCATTCGTTTAAATGTGATCTAATGATAGTAAGCAATCTATTTTTAATCTCCCACCAGTTCTTTGGTTTTGGCACGGAATAATTGACGCGCTTGTTGTCTCCCCTGTTCTATGAACTTTTTTTTCTCGTCTTCGCTAATACCACTGGTCTTACGAGAATTAGATCGAATCTCCTGCTTCATTGCGTTGTATTTGGTGAGTTCCGACAACACTAAACGAAACTCCTCCTCGGATATCTTACAATCAGCCATTGCTGTTGAAATATGATCCTCAATGCTGTTCAACTTTGCTTTGGCGAGTATCCAAATATTATCGTGTTGTAATGCTTTCTTTTGCAACTTACGAGAAATGAATTTTATCGTTATTCCTGCCAGTCCTGAGACTCCAGCGGCTATTTCCATGCCAAGTACGATAGGCGCGGCGATTATAGTTGATAATAAACCAACACCGGCTACACTGAGTCCCATGCCAGCTGTCACAAGTGCGGTGTCAACTCCGTCGAGAGCATTCACGGCTCTGCGATACTTTTTAATCAATCCAAGTCTAAACTCCCTCTCCTTTTCTATTCAATGTTTTATGTCGCTTATTTGATGTAATCAAAATCCATCAACAGTATCCATCTTTTCAGATGCCTCATTGAGCGCTGGATATAAACTCATAGTGTATATTACGATCATATAATAGTCTTTAATTGATCTTGCTTAAATGATTTGAGAGTATACATCAACCTTATCAAATGTATATTATACGGCAAGAATATCTTAGTAAGAGAAATGCTGTCACTCTTAATAATTTGGACCCCCTCAAGGGTTGCAACGGGTGATGCTTCAATATGAATAATACTGCAACGTTGACGTTGGTGTTTCTTGAGCCATTTAATCGATAGACCTGGTAATATTTCGAAAGCATCTACCGGTGCATCTCCGAACAAGACTTCAATATTAAGCGTAGAAATACTAGGTATTGCACTCAAGTTCTGTTTAATATCATTGAATTCAGTAACCAAATTTAAACTAACATTTTTTTATGCTGGACGACTATATAACATATGACCTGGGTTTTCTGGCAGGGGAGAGACTAACACACTTGTTCGTTTTGACAGGATATAAGCCCCGAGTACGATGCCACTATTTATTTTCTTAGTTAAATTATGTGCCTTACCCATCATCACATACGGTGGGGTAATGACGATATTCAGTAGCCACTCGATGTTTGCTTCGACCATAGTCCATTTATTATCATCGCTGTGAGTGAGATTGTACGAGGTGTTTTTTTTAAGGAGTCTACTAACAACGTCGACATCGCTTAAATCACCTAGATTACCTGTGAATGTAACTTCTTTCCGCTTGTATACATTATCTTGTAAGTGTAAAGCGTATAACTTACCATCGGTACCTGGGTTTACCGAATCCTTCTGTGTCTCCGAGATCGAAATGCGCATTTGTATTACATTGTCTGAGCGTTCCAGGGCCTGATGAATCAACCATTATTTATAATATGGAGTGTTACACTTAAGTATCCTATATGTACAGGTTGGTGTTTTACATCTAATACAGAAATTTTGAGGTCTGAAATAATACCACACTTCAATTTTTTATATTGTAATGATGAGAAAGATTCCGTTCTACCGCTATTATATTTTTCATTTTTGACTGGAACAGCTCTGAGTAGAGTTGAAGGACTGTCTAGTTGAATATTATCCGTCGTACTTATCTGATCAAGATGGATGCACAACTCTTTATAGGGAGCTAAATCGGGTAATCTAGGTCCCTGTGCTGATGCATCGATTACTTTTATTTCTCCTCTCTATCCAATTGTAAATCCTAATTTCGATAAAATCTTTACACCCTTTTTCCAGCGCTTAAATTCACTGTCCCATTCGACTCATTTTCCATTAGGCTTAAATTTTTTATCATTGAGTGAGCATATACTGTAATACCCATCAGGTATAATAATGGGTTTGTCAATAACATTGTAGTCATTTTCATCTAATATATATACCTCATTATTTCTTTTCACAGCATTTATATTGGTCCACCGCGGGTAATAATTTACATTACATTGCATAGGGCGACTTCAAGTTGACCATCCGAGTTATTGATAGTATGAAGCAGTTGAATAGACTGACCATTTGTTATTCCCGGGAGTGTAACAAACATATTAAATATACAATGATACTATATCATAACTTAAATATGAAATCAACTTATATTACTAATCAGTCGATTTTAGTAAGTGCCTCTGGTGCTATTTTTTTTGTTAAATTCCCTGATATCTTTGAAAAATACAGGTTCACGGCAACTAGCGATAAAATGGTGCACGATTGGTTTCACAATCCAATGCAATTTTGGCAGAATCAGTTAAACTTTGCCATATGGTGTGCAACAACGGGATGTAGTGTATCTCTTTATGCTCCAGGATTTGAACTGAATAAGTCTGTTTTATCGTTTCACGTGTACTATCAGATTAGACGTATACTTAAAGAAATTAGTGCCCCATTACCGCAGGATCGAGCATGGAATGCATCAAATAATCCGTACAATAGGTGGGCATTCGAACGTATTCGTCAGGAATTTAATATTTCTATGAGTAAAGATTGGCATATTAAAGGAATTAACCATGGTCTAGGTGTTCCGTACAGCGGTCAAAAAACTGTTAAAGAAGAAAGCGATGATTTAGTTAATAAAAACTCATAAACCATTCGATCCATTTAAGTTGTTACAGAAAAAAAAATCTTTTTGTAAGATTGCATAATCTTAATCATGGCTGGGAACTTTCGAGTAACGATTGGAGATGTTCTCTTATGAGTTTTAAGGGTGGTTTGGCTTATATTGTTACAAAATTTGTACAACTGAACGATACCGTAAACACTTGGAAAGAATTTCTTAATGATAAAACGGAAAATAATTTTACTAACCCAGGAGTTGTAAGAGTTAATGAATCAATAAGAACTTATGTATGGGCAATTCTCGGTGCACAATCGCAAACACAAACGTCCATTATTGGTTCTGGGACGGCGCTCGATGCACAAAAACAGTTTGGCACAAATGTTGAGGACGCTATTAATTCACCAGTTGACATACGATCTTCTATAAAGCGTTATCAAGATGTATTACAGTACACTCAATCCAAAGTGGACTACGTTTATGCGCCGGGACTATACATATCTCCGAGTAATATGGAACTTAAGATCGGTAAAGTGATAGGCTATAATAATAAAATTGTTATTGCTGCCGATCAACAAAAACCAGGTATAAATTCAGATATTAACACCGAATTAATAACGCAAACAAACACAGGCGAAACGGGATTAGTCAAGCCACAGATATCTACTAATGCTCAACCATGTACTATCGCACAATCACAAGTGCCACCACATATTGCGGCTAAAAATCAACAACATATCGATGGAAAAACAGCGCTTGTAGTAGGTGGAGTCGCGGCTGGTTTACTCATGATTTGGTTAAATAGTCTTTAGCGGATACGTACAACAGCCCTGCAATTGCTACGATCAGTGCCCACAAGTTTTGACTAAGCCAAGTGGTGGTCTTAGCTAATAAATTCAAGAGCCAGGAAACTATACTCCCTATTATACCGGGAAGTGCAGATGCGGCTTTCCCAGCGAGCT